TTTGAGGAGGGTTGTGCACTAAAATAATTAATGTTGAGGTGATAGGTTTGAATGAATAAGAAGGCGGTTTATTAGTCTAAAAGACTATTACGTGCCATTCTCTCAACATAAAAGACATATAATTGTGTACATGTACGAGAAACTCAAGCTGAACAAATACGTACTAGCAAAAGCAATTATGAATGAATGTAATATGGATCATGAGAGCATTTTGAAGATGACCTTTTATCAATTATTGTGTAATACCGCTGGACAACTTTAACGTCGTCGGTTGTGGTTTTAGTAAAACATCATTCGATAAGCTTCTTTACCTCGGGCTAAAGCATTAGTCAGTGACAATACAAATACTGAGTCAGTCATAACATTGGCGATGGTAGTAACCTCAATGTAAACAAGTCCTGAAAGACCTTGAATCACTGAATCATTYGGTAGCTTTGGCCGGTAATTAGATAAGTCAAGGCATGTCTTGTGTCTTTGCATTCAGTCCATGATACACACGCGCAAAGAGAGGGCGGAAGCAATGGTTTATTGTGATTTATAAATAACTTTAGATCTTTTCGCGATAAGAAAGCAAACTTCCAATAAACAATATAATAGTTGTTTCCACATCATCTTTGCTTTGCCACCGATATCCTCTCGATCCGAAACGTTAAACTACTCCCATTACACAAATAATTTCCATTTAATTTACAGAATTTTGGACACTTACAACATACTTACATCAAATTTACAACATTAAAAGCGCGCGATTTTTTACAGTGTCAATTATAAGATTGTTTTTCTGATCGATAATGAACTTGCCCAACAATAATAATCGTTCTGTACGCTTGTTTGCTTTATGCGGCGTGGCCTATTAAAAGATTATAAAAAAAACAAGAATTCTTAGGGCTTGATCTGCAGCGCGGCAAAAATTAGCTTGAATGATACTTTTACACCACTTTAGTATAGCCCTAAGTTAAGCYCCAATGCGGTTTTGAATTAATCCTTGCGATAGTCCAAAGCTTTGTGTATTCAATAGAATAAGAGGCTGTCCGGTAACAATTCTTATAATATATCTATATTCTTTATTGTTTGATACCTTTGGGTATGTAAGTGAATTGAATGCGGTTTGCTATCCCCTCTAAGCAGGTCTTTGACGTTAGCATTCACGTATTCATATGGTCGACTCTCGTACCGTGGGAAAATTTCAAAGTCTTTTGTTTGGCCCTACAGCAAACCAGCGTGCTTCAAGGATCATGCTGTATACCTATAGAACCCAAACAAAAGTCCCTTGAAACTACCTGTAGTGTTTTCATCATTTAAACACACGTTCGCTCTTTGAAACTGATTCAACACAAACCCAAATGCATGACTCGCCTTAGGCAAGAAAACAGTACCGCTTGACTAAGTTACAACGAATCATTTTAAGCTTTTCTCGACCAATGTCAAGGCAGGTTTACTATGAAAGGACAACATAAGCCCTTAATAACTTATAAACAATAGCCTTCCTCTGGTCTTCTTTTGTTCGGTGATATGTTCTTTATAATAAGGCACAAGACGTTTGTATTATTGACCAATTACAASACGAGAATTTCAAAGTGTCGCGCGCCATTTTTCCAARTGACACATTTATTAATTGCTGGTTCGTGCGCACATGGACTTCAGACCAATCAAAATACGGTGATTTTAAGCTAATAGTTACTTTAAATACTTCAAAGACTAGCTAAGGTGATTGTAATGAAGAAACCACTTATCTATACGCTTTATTAGACTTAAAAAAACTTCACCTCCTGTAGTTTCTCAACTGAGATCGTATGTCTACCTTTGCTTCAAAACAATAATGGAGAAAAGACGGAAGACTACAACAGGAAATTGCTTCGAAGACCATGTGTCYAAGGAGTCAAAGCGTAAGGTAAGTTACTCGGGAGTTTGTTTCATTTTAAGCTAAAGTTATTACCAATTCTTCCATAAAGTTTGCAATAATTCTTTCCAAACTCTTCAAAAGAACAAGCGATTTTCKGTTTGGAAGTTTGCCGCGAAAACTCCTGCTTATAACTCGTGCTTCTGAATTGCCTTTGAAATRAATAKKKWAA